ATTATACTACTCCATGTATGACACTGTTTTCTAACATTATGATGTCATAATAGTTCTTGATAGCACATATACAGTACTATTGTATTTTATTACATTTTACACCAGTTAGTTAAAATTCACATAATTTGAAGGGAACCTTAGAATCTTTCCAGGCATTGGCATGGTCAAAGGGTATCAAATCTGTGCAGATATAGCGAGCAACACAGTATTGAAACCTCAGTCTGACACTCAGAAAATATTGCTGCTCTACTACGGGTCAAGAAACGTGCAACGAGATGACTTAAAGAAATACCTACACTGGCAGACTGAAGGGGCTGAACCCTTTTAGTTGTGAACAGACTATGAGGGGTCTGATACAAGTATTCAAAATCTTCAAAGGCCTTGACAAAGGCAAGCCAGTAAACGCTTTCCTCCAGAACACTGAAACAAGACGTAGAGGACAAAGTGGAAACTGCGCGGACTCACATTCAAAACTGAGAACAGGAGGCACATCTTTATCCAGAAGGTTGTGGGAGAATAGAACAAGCTACCCTGCCATGTTATTGAAGCTGATATCCCGGTTTACGCCAAGAAACTGCTACAGTAGATGATTATCTTCTGTACTAACTACCAAATAGGCAATATGGGCTGAATGGGTGTATAACAGTTTTTACATTCTTATGAGAAATGATCAGCTTTTGGCTGAAAAGGTCACAGTTTTGGTTGCAACATAAATACATTTTCGTATTAATGACAGATAAACTTGCATACTTCCTGTCATACCTGGATGATCCTATCTGCAACTATTTTTTCCTCTCTTGACCAGAGTAAAAGATTGCATAAGAGATCAACAGATCTAGAATCTAGAGGCTTCCATTGTAAGAGGAGGGCTTGATATTTAAGAATGCCCCTTATACAGTACATCATCTGTTTTAATATGGGGCAGTATGTAACATTTTTATAGGTTTAAATAAATATCATGTATCTTCCATACAATTAGAAATGGCTGCAAATAAAATAAAACAATGGAGTATCTGCGGTGATTATTCTCTCCTGCTTTGCACACATGCCGTTCTTTCACTCTGAATCTTTCGCTTATAAGAAAAGAATTTGAGATCTGGGTCAATCAGAGTCAACGCAAGACACAGTCACAACTGTATTTTCAGAGCAGCTTCGGCCTTGTTAACTGAAGATTTCTCAGTAACATCTTGGTTTCTGACAGTCGCTCCCGCTACATTTACTAGAAATGCAGGTCATTCTGCAGGCTGAGGACAGAGGTGTCTTTACCTGCATGTCCAGCGAGTTGGATCCAAGGATACTTCTTTTTGAAGGACATCACAAATGGAGACCAATGGACCATGTTCTTGATCTTCTTCCATGATTTGCTCTGAAATAAGTTTTTATGTTTAGATTTTAGATAATTTAGATATAAAATATACAGTGGCAAACACAATGATGTTGGCAAGAAATTAACTGCTTAGGTTAGAGGATTTCCAATCTTGTGTCTTCATCTTTAATGAAATCTGCAGAATGTTACTGCCTGAGGAGCTGCTAAATGACTCCAGACTGTGGTGAGCATTCTGCCCAATCTTTGAGAATGTATGAAAATAAAGAATCACCAAAAGAGTCCTCAAGTTAAATTAATCAGTTGACAAATTTGGAAACACTTTACCTCTAGGTTTTCCCTTTATCACAGAAAGTTAGCCACACATATTTTACAGTTGTATATCTGATAAAATTAAATTAAAACTGTGTAAACACAAATTCAGCATGATGTTTTATTAGCATCTGGTCCTTATATAAATTCGCCTGACAGAAGAGACTAATGACCATCAAGTGCCTAAAAAGCTCAAACCATTAATGGAGAGAAAAGAAATCAAAATGCAGATTGTTTGCATATCACCATCAACAGCAGTGTGGCTCAGCTGCTCTCCTTCACAAGTGCTGTTGTGTGATGCTAAAGGTGCTAAGATATTGCCTTCTGGAAGGATGCAAATTATTTAGGGTTTGCAAAGCATGTCTGCCTACATCCAAAACTACTAAAGCCACGCTTGTGAGGTTGAAGGAGGTCTTGTGGCTTTCCTATGAGATGAGGAAACCTCTGTGAAGTCTGCACATTATCACTGGTACCCAATACATTGCTTACAAAACAGATGGCAACACACTACACTAGTACTTTTATTATGTGACAGGTAAAAGCCTTGATATATACAGTACGAGTTAAATTTCAGAGTTTCCTTCACAGGACCAGACTGGGTTTAGAGTTTATTCCAGTTACTAAGATAACACAATTTATCGCTGCATGAGACTTTGATAGCACTAAGCAATGCTCTATCACACAATAATAAAAGTTTTTCCCATCAGCAAGCATATTATGTTATGCACATTACTATTCTTTGATTTCCTTGCACAACTGCAGTACATCGTTTGCTGAAAACACTAATCTGCAGCAGTACAGGAATTTTACTCTGCAATCATGAGTGCAAAGAGAACTGAGTGAATAAATTGTGATATCAAGTGCAGCAGGGAGATACAGTATGGGAAAAATTGAAAATGAACATGGCATGAAAGTGGTGCAATGAAACTTTGTGCAAAGCATAATATTCATTGTACTACAATTAAACAGCCAACTGTCACAAAAAGACAGTACTGTATATAGAAAATGCTTTACCAATTTAAAATTCTCAAAGTTCTCAAATCAGTTGCTGCAGAGAATGCTAAAACACAAAAAGGGTAAATATGATGTTTTCCATACAGGTCAAAGACCAGATGCATCTGCCTATTTGCAAGCTATTATGTATAATTATGAAGTTTTTTATAAGCCATGTGAATTACCTGAAGAAGCTGTTGAATGGCTTTCTTGAAATTCAGTTAGCAGCAGACGTTAGAGGTACAGTACTAGTTGGAGCTACACACTTTGTTTACTACCAGTGCAGATGGTGTGCAAGTCAGTGCTGCTGCTTTGTGACTCCACAGTCAGGCATGGGATTTAACTGTGTGGAGTTTGCATGGTCTCTGTCCGCTCGTGTGCGTTTTCACAACGTGCTCTAACATATTCTCAGAAAAGGAAAATCGCTCTAGGTTTGATTGGCTATTCCAAGCGCCCCCTTTGTCTGCAGTCCCGTGGTAGACTTCAGTCTGTCAAGGGGGATGGTAGTTACATGTTCTCACGCCCACTTTGTGTCTTAAATTATTCTCTACCTCAAAAATCTCTACTAGGATGAGCAGGTTTCTGAGAAGAGATCATCACTGGTTCTATCACAGACAATCATATACTGTATACTGTATGTCCAAAAGAAAGAAGTCATGAGGTGTTTGTACAATGTACAATGTGCAATTTCAGAAAAAGATTTTTAACTGCAAGTAAGATGACACTTTTATAAGTCTTAATAATTAAAATTGTTAGTATTCAAAGGAAGAACAACTTATTTTAGAATCTTCAATACACACTTAACAAAGTTTCTTTACATTCAAAGTTAAAATACATGACGTACATTTTCATAATATATTATTTATTGCCTGCTTTATACAGTAGATGTGATTTTACTATAAAACCCCATGTCTTAAAATGGTTTCTTAGGTTTTACAGTACACATGATAAATTAAGCACATTAAAACTGGCCAGCTTTGATAAATCTACTGAACATTTCTACTGTTGTATATCTAGGTCTTTATATTTAGAAATGATGACTCCTTGTTCTTGGTTCTTTAGTAGGTGGTTAAGAGCTGTGGTGGAACCTGTTACTGTGCTGACACATATTTTGTGTTACCTTTGCCACAGACATTGCAAAAATACTAGTTACCTGTAGGACGCAATTAATTGTTAACAGTGTTTTTTACTGTAGCAAGTATTTCCTGTTGTTCTCTCTACTTGTAACTATATGTTCATTCGCTACTTAAACCAAGATTGCAAGTGTTTCTTTCCTGTCTGCTAACACACTTCACTCTATCATCTTTAAACAATGCCCTTCATTTGCATCCAATGATAACAAATCACAATGGTACTCCAACACTCTAGTAAAGCTCCTAGAATAAAAACTTAAGGCACTGTTTCATTTTTTAGGCATAAAGTTTCCATCTTAATATTAAAACAATCTGGCGCTGAATGGTACTTATACAGTAATTACTTTGTCCTGACAGATTAATGCTGACCTTTTTGGTCACACGTTAACAATTTCTCTGCAAAATCATTTTTTCATAGATTTCTTTTTATCTTCCTAATGGTGCAAAAAGGAAAGTATAAAAAATAAGAATACGTGAAATCAGCTCTCCACACCCTTTTTATGTTCTCTACCTCTGTTCATTCTAATCCCTCAAAACCATCCTTGATTTCTAAAGTTTTCTGTATCTTTTCCTAGAAAAAAACATAGACTAATTCAGGATACAAAAAATCAAAATACTCTGGATGTTGTTCTTCAATATAATGTAATAGACATCACAGACAACTTAAAAAGGTGTTCGGTAGGACCCTCTTGACATAGTGAATAGACTTTAATAGACTTTTCTCAGAATTTGTTTCATTATCTGATGGCAAATTTTGAGCAATTCAAGTTTCTGCATTTTACCTCACATTAAACCTGAAACAAAAAAATATTTTGGACTTAACACCACTTGTTTCTCAAATGCAGACTTTTTAAGCATTTTAAACATTTTCACCTCGACTGATAGCCATTCATCATTATCAATAACACTCACATGCATAGATATTTAGTTCACATTCCTGAGAGTTTTCATTCCACCTGTACTGACAAGTGCAGGCAAGAGTTCTGGCAAAATAGAAATGTAAGCCACGTGGTTACAGTTGTAAAAGTTTTAAAAACATTCCTGAAAAGGCCCCGGAGAAAGAGGTGGTGAGGGGTTCAGAGTTTTGTTCTAATTCTTGTTCTCTGGTAATCATACATCATATTTTAAGTTGCCCTAAATAAACATTCCACATTCTCAAGAAAATTAATGCCTTTTTATATCAAATCTTATAAGAAAACACAAATGTGGTAGCCAGAAAACAAGAATATATGTACATTTTCTTTTTCTTGTTTGATTAAACACATCCCTGCCAAACAAAGCCAGAAGTAAGCATAAATGTTATTTTGAAGCTCTTTTGTTTTTCCACTGTAGTACAATTTTTCCCCTAAAAACTAGATAATGTTATTTTACTTAATGAAATGTAACTGCATAATCTTTGTTTAACTTTCCATGCTGGCTTAAAGGTAAATTCCTCTCCTGGTCTTCAAGTTCTGTGTGGGATTTCCCTTATTTACCTTGTTGGTTTCAGTCTAGAGGAAGCCTTTCTTATTCATTCACCATTTAAATCAACAGTATCCAAGGTCACTGATAAAGAAGCCAAGGCACTACATATGTAAATCATGTCAAGACAGGGTCTTTCGTGAAATTTATTAAGATTTATGAAGGCAGTGTTCTTCAACTGCCTTAACGAGCTGAATTTCTAATATACAGTATGAACCACACAATTGCTCTTTCATCTCAAAACCAATTAAATACAGTACATTACTGGCAAGGCATTGTCCTATAATAATTGTCCTATAATAATTGACTACCAGTTTACAACTGTATCAGACATGGTAGACATGATAGAGGCCGGGAGCTTGATTTGAAAGAGAGGGCTGAATAAATATATTAAAAGAAGAAATTACCCATCTCATTGTGAAGGTAAGATCAGTCCATCACCTTCTTCATGGTGCTTAAGCTCCTTCACTATCACAAAACCGTACAGCTGCCACCATGGCTGGCCTGCTCTCTTTTCTTTCGAGAGGTACAGTGCTGTGAAAAAACATTTACTGATTTCCACCATAAAAAATGTGTGTCCATAAAAAATTTCCCTCAGGGGACAATAAAATCTTATTTTATCTACTATTGCTAATTTTTGACACTGAATGTTTTCAGGTTTTCAACCAAAATTAGATAAAGGGAACCTGAGTGAACAAATAACACTTTTTTTTTACTTATTTCATTTATTTAATAAACAAAGTTATCCAACACCAGCTGACTTTTTTGTGTGAAAAAGTAAATTAAATAAGCTGATTGAATACAACCAGGCTTGATTACAGCCAGGCCTGCTCAATATAAACCTCACTTATTTTGACCCTTACCATCAGAGTCAAGTTGCCAGCACAAAGATTCAACAAGCACATTATGCCACGATCAAAGGAAATTCCTAAAGAGATCAGAACAAAGTTGTTGATATCTATCAGTGTGGAAAGGGTTACAAAGCCATTTCTAAGGATCTGGGACTCAACTGAACCACAGTGAGAGCTATAATCCCCAAATGGAGAACACCTGGTACAGTAGTGAATCTTCCCAGGAGAGACCGGGCTGCCAAAATGTCTCCAAAGGCGCAGCGTAAAATCACCCAGGAAGTCACAAAGGATC